TTTTATTTTGATTATTGTTTGTTTGTGGAAAGTGGTAGTTTTGATACTCTAGCTTATGAGTTTAAGTGTGACTAATAAGTACAGTAGTTTGGGTTTAATAAACTAATACTTCTATGTCAAAGACTGGTAGTTTGTGTAGGTAGTTTATAAGAGATGCAAAAATGTTTTTGATAAGAGACGAACCAAACACTGTGAAGTTAAGACCACTCAGTGGCCGAGTGTGAATTTGAGGTACAACAGTTTGAAATATATAGCAAGTCTACATTTCTTTATACAAACAAATACACACATTGCAAACCACTGTTAGTTGCACTAAAAACAAATATATTTAATAACACAAGAATAATTTGGGGACTATACTGTAGTATCACCTTTCATGCATACACAGCTTGTTAACACATTACTAATACTGTACAGTATACATATCCTACAATGTAACTACCAGCAATTATTTTTCAAACCTTTAAGGAATACAATGAACAGAGGTCGTGAATTTACCAAAATGAGGTGGTTGACAGCTCTAAATCATAATTGTATTAAAAATTCTTCAACCAGATTTTGTAGAGTATAGTATAAATTTTCTTATATTTGAATGAGAAAAAATGGGGTCTGATTGATATCTTGCTAGTGATGGGTGAATATCATTGTAAAAAATCATTTGTCCTTAATTCAAATCTCTTAAACATTTTGTATAATTTTTTTTTTACCTTACCCTATTTATAAAAAAAAATATATATGAGAGGTTTTTACAAAGCAGAAGCATTATAAGAAGAGCAGAGTATATAGAGAGTAAAAGAAAGGTAAAGAGAGTGCAAAAGGAGAGCAGATGATAGAGTGGGAGAGGCACTGTCAAGAAATTTTAATGAAAATAAGAAAAAAATTTGGAGTGAGTTAAACAAGTTAAGAAAGCCAAGGGAAAGTATGGATTTGTCAGTTAAAAACAGAGTAGGGGAGTTAGTAGATGGGGAGATGGAGGTATTAGGTAGATGGCAAGAATATTTTGAGGAACTTTTAAATGTTAAGGAAGAAACAGAGGCAGTAATTTCATGCACTGGTCAGGGAGGTATACCATCTTTTAGGAGTGAAGAAGAGCAGAATGTAAGTGTGGGGGAGGTACGTGAGGCATTACGTAAAATGAAAGGGGGTAAAGCAGCTGGAACTGATGGGATCATGACAGAAATGTTAAAAGCAGGGGGGGATATAGTGTTGGAGTGGTTGGTACTTTTGTTTAATAAATGTATGAAAGAGGGGAAGGTACCTAGGGATTGGCGGAGAGCATGTATAGTCCCTTTATATAAAGGGAAAGGGGACAAAAGAGACTGTAAAAATTATAGAGGAATAAGTTTACTGAGTATACCAGGAAAAGTGTACGGTAGGGTTATAATTGAAAGAATTAGAGGTAAGACAGAATGTAGGATTGCGGATGAGCAAGGAGGTTTCAGAGTGGGTAGGAGATGTATAGATCAAGTGTTTACATTGAAGCATATATGTGAACAGTATTTAGATAAAGGTAGGGAAGTTTTTATTGCATTTATGGATTTAGAAAAGGCATATGATAGAGTGGATAGAGGAGCAATGTGGCAGATGTTGCAAGTACTATATGGAATAGGTGGTAAGTTATTAAATGCTGTAAAGAGTTTTTATGAGGATAGTGAGGCTCAGGTTAGGGTGTGTAGAAGAGAGGGAGACTACTTCCCGGTAAAAGTAGGTCTTAGACAGGGATGTGCAATGTCACCATGGTTGTTTAATATATTTACAGATGGGGTTGTAAAGGAAGTAAATGCTAGGGTGTTCGGGAGAGGGGTGGGATTAAATTTTGGGGAATCAAATTCAAAATGGGAATTGACACAGTTACTTTTTGCTGATGATACTGTGCTTATGGGAGATTCTAAAGAAAAATTGCAAAGGTTAGTGGATGAGTTTGGGAATGTGTGTAAAGGTAGAAAGTTGAAAGTGAACATAGAAAAGAGTAAGGTGATGAGGGTGTCAAATGATTTAGATAAAGAAAAATTGGATATCAAATTGGGGAGGAGGAGTATGGAAGAAGTGAATGTTTTCAGATACTTGGGAGTTGACGTGTCAGCGGATGGATTTATGAAGGATGAGGTTAATCATAGAATTGATGAGGGAAAAAAGGTGAGTGGTGCATTGAGGTATATGTGGAGTCGAAAAACGTTATCTATGGAGGCAAAGAAGGGAATGTATGAAAGTATAGTAGTACCAACACTCTTATATGGGTGTGAAGCTTGGGTGGTAAATGCAGCAGCGAGGAGACGGTTGGAGGCAGTGGAGATGTCCTGTTTAAGGGCAATGTGTGGTGTAAATATTATGCAGAAAATTCGGAGTGTGGAAATTAGGAAAAGGTGTGCAGTTAATAAAAGTATTAGTCAGAGGGCAGAAGAGGGGTTGTTGAGGTGGTTTGGTCATTTAGAGAGAATGGATCAAAGTAGAATGACATGGAAAGCATATAAATCTATAGGGGAAGGAAGGCGGGGTAGGGGTCGTCCTCGAAAGGGTTGGAGAGAGGGGTAAAGGAGTTTTGGGGCAAGGGGCTTGGACTTCCGCAAGCGTGCGTGAGCGTGTGAGATAAGGAGTGAATGGAGACGAATGGACTTGGGACCTACGAGTGTGGCAGGGTAATATTTAGGTGAAGGGATTCAGGGAAACGGTATTTTCTATAGTACGGATCTTGAGTCCTGGAAATGGAAGTACGAATGCCTGCACTTTAACCTTTCAGGTCGGACCGTAAGTCTACGCGCATTTGACGTTCAGGGTCCAAACCGTTAGCTACGCCATGGTAGTTCTTCACTATGATTAAACTGTGAGTGTACATTTGGCCCTAGATATGAGAGAATACATCTATGTGTTGTGTGCACCACAAAAACAGATCCGCAAGACACTGTGTTTATGAGAGAAATTAAAATTGAAATCACGATTTTTCGGATTAAAACGCAACTTTGCAGTGTATTTTTACGTAGTTTTTATAGTTGTATTTGCTATTTTTGTTCATTTGATAGAATGGAAGACATATTACAGAAATGAGATGATTTTGATTGGCTTTAGCAGAAATGCTTGAAACTGTCTAAAGTTTCAGAAATGTTAAATTTTTGCCGATATTCAAGAGTAAACAAACGACCTTCACTCGTCTAATACACGTCAGCTGGTGGTCTAATATACATTCACAAATATGTTGATTGTTACTAACAATTATTACAGTATTGCATTAACAGTAAATCTTCTATTTTTATGATGTGAATAAAAATTCATTATTGAATAAAAATCAAAATGGAATTTATTTAACCTCAAAATTCATACTAATGAACAGAGAAATGTTAGTTTAGTGCCAGGAATGCTACATTGTTCATTCTGGACCCTATTTTGAAATTGGAATATTTTGAACTTTGTGTTAAATTGGCCAAATTAACAATTTCCGATCACTTTATTTTGTAGTTGAAAACAGTTGACTTGGCGATTTCTTGTGCTCAATCGATAGAATAGAAGTAATACTAGTGAAATAGCTAAGAATTTGGTTGATTGGAATAATGTAATTGACCTAAAATGGGAGTCAAAGTCGGCAAAATCGCCGATTTGTAAATATCGCTGACACATCAAAATTCGCGAGAGCATAATTTCGTCATTTTTCCACCAAATTTCGTACTTTTTGTTTTATTACCATCACAAAAAGATTCTCTACGATTTCATAAGAAAAAATAACAAATTTTTTTTTTGAAAATTCTTGGACATTGGTGCGTGACTCCAGATTTGGGCCTTGGACCCTGAAAGGGTTAAAGGAGGGGTTTGGGATATTGGCAGTTTGGAGGGATATGTTGTGTATCTTTATACGTGTATGCTTCTAAACTGTTGTATTCTGAGCACCTCTGCAAAAACAGTGATAATGTGCGAGTGTGGTGAAAGTGTTGAATGATGATGAAAGTATTTTCTTTTTGGGGATTTTCTTTCTTTTTTGGGTCACCCTGCCTCGGTGGGAGACGGCCGACTTGAAAATATATATATTATATATATATATTTATATATATATATATATTATATATATATGTATGTATGTATGTATGTATGTATGTATGTATGTATGTATGTATGTATGTATGTCATGCTGAATAGGCAGAACTTGCGATCTTGGCTTAAATAGCAACGCTCATGTTGCCATATAGGAACAAGCGAAAATTTGTGTATGCAATAATCTCGCCAAAATCATTCTGAACCTAACGAAAAAATATATTTCACTGTGTTTGTTTAGTATTAAATTATTATAAACAAATCTAAAATATATTTAGTTGGGTTAGGCTAAAATAAATTGTTCTTGTTATAATAAGGTTAGGTAAGTTTTCTAAGATTCTTTTGGAGCAAAATAAATTTTTTTTACATTAACATTAATGAAAAAATATCTTTAAACATATAAGAGAAAATTTCAGAAAGGACTTAATTTTAAATGAGTTCTTGCTAATTGACCAGTTTTACATATTCGGCAAGCGTGCATGAGCGTGTTAGATAGGAGTGAATGGAGGCGAATGATACTTGGGACCTGACGATCTGTTGGAGTGTGAGCAGGGTAATATTTAGTGAAGGGATTCAGGGAAACCGGTTATTTTCATATAGTCAGACTTGAGTCCTGGAAATGGGAAGTACAATGCCTGCACTTTAAAGGAGGGGTTTGGGATATTGGCAGTTTGGAGGGATATGTTTTGTATCTTTATACGTATATGCTTCTGAACTGTTGTATTCTGAGCACCTCTGCAAAAGCAGTGATAATGTGTGAGTGTGGTGAAAGTGTTGAATGATGATGAAAGTATTTTCTTTTTGGGGATTTTCTTTCTTTTTTGGGTCACCCTGCCTCGTGGGAGACGGCCGACTTGTTAAAAAAAAAAAAAATATATAATATATATATATATATATATATATATATATATATATATATATATATATATATATATATTATATATATATATATATATATATATATATATATTTTCAACAAGTTTATATTTATATTTTATATTTATTTTATATTTATATTTTACAGTAATTACATCATAAAGGATTCAGTTGTCAACCTCTTCTTTGCAGTAATATACACCTGCTTTTAACAAATTTGGAGCTGATGGAACACAAGTACATATGATGGTAAATAAATTACTATATTGGCAAGGAAAAAAAAGGATATTGATAAATATATACCTGGAGTTTACCTGGAGGTAAACTCCAGGTATGTGAAGAGCTGTAGCAAGACTGTTGTGTTCCTGAAAAGAAACATTGGACACACTATCAATAAGGTGGGCACACAGTACATTTGCATGGAAAAAATCTTTAGTGATATCTTTATAAACACTCATTGGACAATAGATTGGATAACAGTCTGATATTGCATAGCCACAGAACATGTGACAAGTAATTTTGTGCTATGTATTAAGATATTGTTAAAGAACACTTGTGTGCAAAACAACTCCGTACCCACACTACATTTCCTAAGATGGGGATAAAGTAAAATATTTAACAATTAAAAGATAGATAAACAAATCAAAGTGTGTGGAAAGGTAATTCAAAGAGAAAAATCTCTATTTTACAATGTTTTATTGGCATTAGGGTTTTATTTGCACTTAATAATGCCTTATATACTGAAACATTATAAAATAAAGTTTTTTTTCTGCTTACAATCTTTGAATTACCGCTTGTCAGCTTAATCAATACCTTCTGTATGGCAATCTTAAGATAAAAAATTTTAGTTGGGAAGAAAAAATGCAAAAAGAGAGAATAGCAAATTGTAAAGACAAGCAATGGAGCAAGAATGTTTACAGATAGGAAAAATATAAGAACAACAACTGGTATATTTACAGACTGTGATAAAAGGTGTAAAAATGAGAAAATATGAAAACAATGTCTAAATGGGGACAGCATAGTACTGCAATATGTTTTAAAATCTGGAAAGAGTTGGAAAGCATCAAAAGTACAAGAATGTCTACATACTGTAAAACTTTTAAGGAGAATAGCAGAAATGCTGTTTTTAACTGCGAGTAGACATTAACTGGACAAGTTTCTGCAGTGGGCGGACAGACAACATTTGATACAATGGCTGAGAATCTGATGTTGTTGGCACATCTGCTGGATAGGCATACCTAGTATCTTTCACACGTTAGGTAAGAAGGATAGCTTTTGAGAAATTAACTAGGGATAAGATTTCTACTCAGTAGTTACAGCTTCTTTTACTGACATATAAATGTTCAACTAATATAAATCTTTAATGAACACTTAATATGCATGCAGATGCATGTGTGCTCGTGCTCGCTTGCTCTCTTTCTCTCGCTCACTCTCGCACTCTCTCTCATGCTCATTTTCATGCTCTCATGCACACACGAGAAAGTGCAGAGGTTTACAACAAGACTAGTCACAGAACTAAGGGGTATGTCCTAAGAGGAGAGGTAAAGGGAATTCAACCTGATGACACTAGAGGACAGGAGGACTAAAGGGGATATGATAACGTACAAAATACAGGGACAGTATGTTTCAGAGAGGGGAAACTGGAACAAGAGGGCACAATTGGAAATTGAAAACTCAGATGAGTCAGAGAGATGTTGGGAAGCATTTCTTCAGCCTTAGAATTGTCAGGAAGTGGGATAATCTGGAGAGTGAAGTGGTAGAAGCAGGATCCATACACAGCTTTAAGAGGTATGGTAAGGCTCTCATAGCAGGGAGAGTGGACCTAGTAGTGACCAGCGAAGAGGTGGGGTCAGGAGCTGTGACTTGGCCCCTACAACCACATATAGGTGAGTACACACTCAGAGAGAGAAAGAAGAGAGTGAGCAAGTGTCGAAGCAGCTAGGAGTGCATGCAGGACCAAGGCAAACTTACTTATGCCTGATTTCAATCATAAAGAAAAAGATTGGGGGAAATGGAAACGTGGAGGTCTATACTGATGGAGAGGTTCAGGAACAACTTTATGTGCCAGCATGTTAAGGATATGACAAGAGAGAGCAAGAGGTGTCAGCAAGGCTGGACCTAGCATCTACTGCAAGTCCAACATAGGAGAAATAGAATACGAGAGCCCCCTGGGCACCAGTGACCATGCAGTACTGATCTTTGAGTACCTTGTGGAACTAAACAGAGAGAAAACTGTCAAGTAGAGGATGAGAGAAGCCAGATTCTAAAAGAGGGAACTTTGCAGAAATGAAGGAATTCTTGAATGCAGTGCAGCAGGAAAGGGAACTGGAGAGCAAGTCAGTGGAAGAGATGATGGAATACGTAGTTGAGAAGTGCCAGAATGCAGATTGGTGATGGCATCTGGAAGATGAGGAGGAGAGAGGAAGTTGGGGTTAGTGTTTGGAAGGGAAATCCCCCTCCATAAGGACTTTAGGTATCAAAGCCCTCTCTGGGGTTACTTCTCTTCTCTGTCTTTTAATGCACTAGGACCAGCTTGAGAGTCACTGGACCCCTGTTTCACATTATTATTATTATAATCAAGGGGGAAGCGCTAAACCCGGAGGATTATACAGCGCCCCGTTTCACAAAATAACTGTCCGCAGTCCTCTGTTTCTGGCACCTCTGTATTATTTCCTTCTTCACATCTATTGTGTTTCTCACTTTATTTACCACAGGGGTACCACTAGCAAGTTTCTTTGGGCCCATGGTAGCTTATTTCACAGTTTCACAAGCACTAAACACAATGAATTAATCGTAAAATGTTTGAATGAGAGCGTAGGTAAGTGCTCACTCAAGCATCAACAAAGCCAGACTGGCTCACGGCGCCTGCACGGGGATGTGGACAGAGTGGGCTGGCGGACAGGTCCGGTACCTGGCGGTTCGAAAATAGGGGTTTGAAAAAAGCGGTCAATTTTCGAAGAGTTTGATAAGCGATACGTTCAAAATTTGAGGTGCCACTGTAAAACAAATAAAAAAAGTGAAGACACTGCCATTCATGACTATGTGATGAAAGAACATCCACAATAATTGTACAAGTTTTAAAATTCTTATCGCGTCACGAGTTAGAACAATTAATTATGCTATAACACAGTACAGTACCATCAGAAGTGAAGGAATGAGGTAACTATAACTAGGGTGAAAATAGTGTGTATTTTACATTAGTAAAGCTTAACATATGTGAATTAAAAGTTTAAAATATTTGAGATTTACATTATTGTGGAAATACTGTACAGTATAACAAGTATATTTTATATAGGATTTCTGTTTATTGTATATATGGGAAATAAATGAATTAATCAATATCTGTCTGCCTCTGAATCTGTCTGCCTGTCTGTCTCTGTCTGTCTCTGTCTGTCTCTCTGTCTGTCTGTCTGTCTGTCTGTCTGTCTGTCTCTCTCTCTCTCTCTCTCTCACACATTTTTTTAAAGAGGTCATACAGACAGGTTGCTATTCTTATTACTGGTTCATGGAACCTGAACACAAGAGCAGTTTTCATTCTTCATAACATATTTTACTAGCAATATTTAAAAAAATAAAATATTATTTAGAAGATATACATTTTGTAAAATATATTAAAAACATTTAGAATAAGTAATAACATGCCAATGAAAAATAACACTATACACTTACCACTTCTTTCATAATTCTTTTGGCTTTCAATATTTAAGAATTATGCTTCAGTTTTTACATATTTCTCATTTACTGGTACATTTTAAAATAAATATACAGATGCAAATTCTGTATATATTATATATAAATATTTTTTTTTCTCTTATCTAGGTGTACAGAATTCTGTTTTGGGGGGGGCATGTTTAGTGAATGAATATGCATGACCACTTATGCCCAACCTGGGCAGCAAAACAAGGATACAGAGATGATCATGATAAGGATGTGCAGCTAATGTAAAATGAATTTTGGTACTGCACTGATATCCCACAACAAGCTCACAAACTGATAACAGAAACTAGTCCACTACTGATTCACAACTGGGTGAAGCAAAACATTGTACACTTTCTATTTCCAATCTATGGCTTAGTTGTGGATTGTCCAGCAATATTTTGACCTATTCTTCAAGATGCACACTACTTAAGTCTACACATCTGATAAGGACTGTGATGTACAGGTACTGAAGTCCAGGACTTTCAAATGGTTGGGTTGTATACATGTGGTAAAGACAGATACTCGCCTATGGAAGAAAAAACTGAACAAGTACTCAAGATTTATTAACATCTGAAATGTTTTTTCACATGCACAGGGAAGTGTAAATTAGGTGTCTTTACCACTCACACTAGTATGTCGTGCCAGCACGAATTTCTATGCCATCTTACTCAGGTGTACCACGTACTCCTAAGCATGACATGTGTAACAGTGATGTTCCAGTCAGAATAGCATTGTACAGGTGTAGTACTATTGAATGCACAGGCATGCCCATCCAGCACACACACACACACACACACCCTGAACATACTACCTGGTATGTTTATCTCACTCACTATTATTACTACAGCTTACATATTTATTACATCTTACAATTTGACTGGTGAAAATTCTGACATGTATGGCAAAACCCAAAGAGCAAGTGGTAGAGTACAGAAAAGACTTTCAAGACATGGTGATCAAGTCAGCGTGTAGATTCAAGACTTAATGCCACAAACAGTAATAATCACATGTGACAGCTTTCTTTTTTTTGGATGTATACCAGATGTGCCTTTGTCAGCTTTTATCATTGTATTAATAGTGAGTTGCATGAAAATTCTGCCAGATTTCACTTGCCATTAGTGCTGCTTTTATGGTACTAGCCTAAGCAGATTGCCAGTCTCCAAATGAGAGGCTTAGCAGTGTCTTGTGTGCCTCTGCGGAACTTCTCAACATGTATACATTTCAATGTACTGTAATGTGATAGGTACACTGTACATGATTGCCTGCTATATTTCCCTTACTACCCTTCAAGCTCACACATTCCTTATAAAAATTTAATATATATTTTCAACAACCTGTTTTGCCATGACACATGGAATTGTTAATTTTCCTGCACTGAGATGTATTGGGCATTATATAGTGGTCTGTGTTGGTAGTAGAGGAGGCACCAGCATACCGTTCATTCACTACAAATCACTGCGTTGCTATAAGAATGTCTGTATGTCACATACACTGCAATTCTCTTGTCTACAGGATAAATTTTCTACTTGTATGTAAAATATTTTGAACACTTTAATGCAGCCAGCCAAGCCAGTGGCTTTTATTCCAGTATCGTGCTAGGAGCCAATACTCGACCCCTGCACCTATGAATAGGTGAGTATAGTATACAGTACTGGTCAAGATTGCTAAACACCTCCATCAAGAGTGGTGGTGTTGGTTTGAGCAAAGTATGTGTTGATACCCGCAGTGTATCACAGGTACAATGCGGGTAAAGGGTAATTAGCACACAGACAACAACTGTGGGCAGTGGATAGCTTCTACACCTATGCTAGTGATTGCTTCACCACTTGTGGAATATCAGTTAACCTTTATTTCAAGAACAGCCATTAAGTTTATCTCTAAACACCTGCAAGAGTACACACATCTCCTTATACAGTACAGCACACTTGCTACCACCACTGAACATTGAGCTAAAACCACCACCACTACTCCATTTGGGTATCTACCATCACCACTGTGGTTCCTACCACCTGCCCATATAACATGCAAGATGCAGATACAGTATATGAACACCTCAAGTCCTGTAGGCTGTAAACTTATTACTGGTCTAACTGTAGAAGTAAATTAATTCCATAGATTTCACTCACTCCAGCTCTGAAACATGAATGTTCTGTCACTGCAATGGAAGCAGGCAGAACTTAGAGAAGTGGTGTTTGTGTTGCTTGCATGAAACACACGTACATTTATTTTCAAGAAAATTGTCACGTCTCAAATTTTCCATCAGATTAACACTGACACCATGAGAATATCAACCATTCAAATATTTTCAATATTAAATAAATATTTTTCAGAATGACATCATGCAAACAATGCTCTGGAACATATACATAAAACTGATATTTCTTTTTTATAGGGGGAGTGGGGACTCGGTAAGAATACCACCACCGTTATGCTCTATGGACATGTGTTGGCTCACATTTCAAAATTAAAAACTTGTTCCTTTATTCTTACCAAAAGCCTTCATATATGTAGGCTTACTGTAAACATACTTTTGTATGTGTAGGGTTACTGTATATATGTAAGGAAGAGTCAGTCTAAATTTAACACTTCTCCTGACTTCCTAAGCTTAAGTGCATATTGTATATACAAATACTATATTATATCCCAATACCAGCACAAGATATTTTCTGACCACTAAATAATATATTATTTAAGTTCCAATTATGTTTACTGAAGCCATTCGTACTGATAGTTTAGAGCTGTACAAAAATTTGGCCAATTACCTAGAAAGCTAGGCTCTCTTAGGTATAGAATCATTACAACTTGACCCAATTGCATTTCTGGTTGTAGAGTGTTTGGCACCACCAAAAAGAACCCAGGGTTCAATTCCTGGGTGAAGGGAGATGTATGGGCAAATCTCCTTACACCTACTACCCATGTTCACCTGTCAGTCAATAGATACTTCAGTTAGTTAGCTGTTGTGGTTTGAATCCTAAGAAAGGACTCCAGTGGAAATACTGTTATTTATACTGCAGTTTTTGACTCTGTTGGGTTATCCTGGGTTACTAATGATGCCTTTTTCTTAATAAATATAATTGAAGATTACACCATTACTCCTATCTTACATTCTTGAGGCTGTCATCAGAGTGTAGGAGCAGGTGTGGTGGTACAATACATCAATAGATCCATCTCAAGAGTCACCCGTTGTGACTAGCATCTCAAATGTCTTGAAGGAGACATGTGTAGTGGTGTTTATTTCTTCAGGCTGAGAGAAACTGGCATTCTTGCAGTTAACATGAATCAGAGCCCTAGAGAAGGCGTATGTAGTGTTGGTGAGGGTCACTTGCTACTAGTGACAGCAGGAAGGGTGGCAGCATATAGTGCCACAGCACGGTGGATGAACTCATACTGCTCCCCCGTCTGCACCATTCCTCCTCTGGAAAAATTACACATGCTAGAATAATGCCATAATAAGCTAGAATAAGCCATAACCATGTTATCATAATAATAATAATAATAATAATAATAATAATAATAATAATAATAATAATATAGGTAGTAGGGGTAAAGGAGGTTTTGTGTGCGAGGGGCTTGGACTTCCAGCAGGCATGCGTGAGCGTGTTTGATAGGAGTGAATGGAGACAAATAGTTTTTAATACTTGACGTGCTGTTGGAGTGTGAGCAAAGTAACATTTATGAAGGGGTTCAGGGAAACCGGCAGGCTGGACTTGAGTCCTGGAGATGGGAAGTACAGTGCCTGCACTCTGAAGGAGGGGTGTTAATGTTGCAGTTTAAAAACTGTAGTGTAAAGCACCCTTCTGGCAAGACAGTGATGGAGTGAATGATGGTGAGTTTTTCTTTTTCGGGCCACCCTGCCTTGGTGGGAATCGGCCAGTGTGATAATAAAAAAAAAAATAGGTAGTAGGTTGGTAGACAACAACTGCCCATGGAGGTACTACCGTCCTGCCAAGTGAGTGTAAAATGAAAGCCTGTAATTGTTGTACATGATGGTAGGATTGCTGGTGTCCCTTTCTGTCTCATAAACATGCAAGATTTCAGGTACATCTTGCTACTTCTGCTTACACTTAGGTCACACTACACATACATGTACAAACATATACACCTACCATCCGACTTACGACCTGCTCGACTTACGACCACTCGACTTACGACCGTGCTTTTTATGCCAAATTTCTGGGAAATAAACAACTATTTGTGTTGTACACAGTGTTTATCCTAAACCTTACAGTATAAAATACAGTACTAACAACATAAAAAGTAAAGTAAAATATGAAATAACAAAATAAAACAATAAAATAAAGTCATTACAAAAATGTTTTGTTGATATTCAGTAGTAAAGTTCGACTTACGACCTTTTCGACTTACGACGGGTTTCTCGGAACCGAACTCGGTCGTAAGTTGGATGGTAGGTGTATATACATACCCCTCTGGGTTTTCTTCTATTTTCTTTCTAGTTCTTGTTCTTGTTTATTTCCTCTTATCTCCATGAGGAAGTGGAACAGAATTCTTCCTCCGTAAGCCATGCATGTTGTAAGAGGCGACTGAAATGCCGGGAGCAAGGGGCTAGTAACCCTTCTCCTGTATATATTACTAAATGTAAAAGGAGAAACTTTCGTTTTTCCTTTTGGGCCACCCCGCCTCGGTGGGATACGGCCAGTGCATTGAAAGAAAGAATAATAATAATATCTTTATTTCAACAAGTACATGTAGTACAAGATATACAGGCCTAGCTGACATCAATGACATACTACTATACAGAAAGCCACTTGTTATGCAGAGCATTTCGGGCAAATTAGGTCATTCTGTCCCAGAATGCGACCCACACCAGTTGACTAACACTTAGGTACCCATTTTACTGATGGGGAACGTAGACAACCGGTGTAAAGAAACACGCCCAGTGTTTCTACTGTCGCTGGGAATCGAACCCAGACCTTCGACGTGTGAAGCGACAGCTTTAGCCACCAGGCCATGGTTAAACAATAAACATTATTACTATGTGTTAGCTACAACTGCAGTAAAGAATTAGATTAACAGCATGCTTGCTAAAACATTATTAGGAAAAATTACAGATTGCCTGTATGCTTGGCCTCCACCAAAAGAAAATTATCAAATATTCAAGTGGCTCAAAATTACTTTTATGTGAGCTAGAATTACTAGGCAGTGACACCAAGTGTGCCAAAAATTGCTTCATAAATTAAATAATGAATAAAGTAGGACATGTTAGGCTCAGTTAATATGCTGTTGATGTTTTCACCACATCAGCTTACCATAATAAAACCAATACCTGTCTAGTCTCATCTGGCAGAGGATGCCAAGAATGTCAACACAGTCCTCCTCCTGCAGTTGGTTAATGGCGATGCTGATAGCAACAAAGCAACCACTTCGACCAATACCCGCCGAACAATGAACAATAACTGGGCCATACCGCACTCCATCCTCTGTCTGTAGCAACAAGTCAATTACTCACTTCATCCATATAATTAACATACTGTGTATATATAAACAGTAATTACCTGATTTTTTTATTTACAAATATAGAAAGTTAGAAGCTATGAAAAGGTGTCTGTGAAAAACAAATATGATCATTAACAAAAAAATTCATAATAATATCACAACTGGAAGCATTTACAACTAAGCCATAAACTGCAAATAAAATATGGACAATATTTCTATTCATCATGAATTCATGTCTTGATAATGGTTCAGGACAAATGAAAATGTCATTTACTTTCACTTCCAGTTTGTGGGCTAATTTTAAACAGGACTATTGTCATAATTTGAGACGCTGACCTTTCTGACGTGTTCAACCTGAAGGGCCATAGCCAGGAGCTGGTCTGCCTCAGCTGGGGCCTTGTGGTCGGGCCAGGCTGTATACCAGAAGTGTAGAGTCTCCTGCCGCTCCTCCCCACGCTGATGTATACATATCATTTATAGATTATCCCAACATATTTACATTTCATACATGAAGGAATTAATCTGGTTGACTACTCTAAATTCTTGAGAATACTCAGACACAAAAGCATAATAGATACTGGTCAATGATACAAAGGAAGGCACATGGAAACTATAAAGCAAGAAGACTATTATTGTATATTTCTGCTTCACGTTGAGACTCACAGACTGTTCAATGTACACTTACTTAGGAAGACCTCAGTGCAAGGTTGAAATACGCAGTAAAATATTCTTGGAACATGTTTATAGGACAGTACTATTACAACATTACTACTTTAAAAATTACATCCTCAATATGCAGTCATATGTGAGCTTTGTGGAATACATATAAACTGTTTTGTATGTTTAAATTTTATTTACAATTGCCAAATAATCTTAGGGTACTATACTGCAAATTTTAATGTTTTACTGATCAAATAAACATTTAGATCATTTTACAATACTGTAATGTGAAAGTATGAGTGTAAAATCATTATTAACAAAGACCTGTGCCACAGCTTACCTGGAGGAGAAGTCTGCGGATAGTGTAGCCACTCTTCTGTATAACCTGCTTGACTGTGACGGTGATGTCCCCATAGGTGGCTGTGTGTGCTGGTATGTAGGGCTCACACTTCACCCTCTGCTTCTCTTTGAGCCTAGTGATCATGACAATAGCTGGTGCCTGCTCCTGCATTACCAGCCGCCATAGATCGACTACTGTGTGAGCCAGTGGTCCCTGAGTCACAATATATGCCCTCTCCTCTCCATCATAACCCTGCAATAATACCATCACAGCCTCCTTCAGTAACTAAGTGGCTACAGAATCAAAACTTCACCATTCCTTGCACAGAATGAACCATATAACACTTCACATTAATTTTAAATATTTTTTTATTTCTTTTAAATTTCTAGTGTTTGTTCTAAGCGTATGAATATTCTAGGAATACAGTGGTGATAAGCTAAGAAGCTTTAACTGAGAATAACTTAACAGTGCAAAATACTGCAGTATGATTTAGGTACAGTACTAATATTTGGGAAAGTGCTGTAAAGCCAATGCCATGGCATGAGAGGAATGTGTGATTGGCAAGTGCACTGACATTAACAATAAACTGGCTATAAACCTAAAAGGTGTAAGTAAAATAAAGAATAAACAGTGGAAGGGTTCACTACAGCATCAGAAAATTGCAATTAAATATTAACTGAAACTATAACAAAATGATACAAAACAAAATAGAAAAAAATTATGGAAAGAAGACTTATTAGGGTTCCAATTCATCATTCAATCACATTCAGTCTGTAAATTATCCAAGAGAATTAAGAAAAACCATTACTTAAAAAAATATACTGAGACAAACCCAACAGACATGACCAATCTAAAATTAATTTGAGAAGTAACAAAGGTCTCATGAAAAATAACCAGAAGAGGGTTTGAAAAAAATAGATAACATTAGTGTTACAGAGAGGAAGTGGTTGGAATAGATGATAATTCAGTTAGTATTACCTTTAAGAAAATCCTGTGTAAAAAAAACAACCACAGCAGCAGAGGCTATGACTTGCAATATCAGGACAAACTGGGACATTGCAAGATCAAATTCCAGTAGGAAGTATGAGGTAGATAAGACAAAAAGAAAAAATTGAGTACAGTGGAACCTCGGTTAACGAATTTAATCCGTTCTGTGACATTACTCATATCTCGAGTTGTTCATATGCCGAGTCAATTTTCCTCATTTAAATTAACTGAAATGCCATTAATCCATTCCAGCGGAATTTCTGCTCTCAGGAGGCTCGACAAAATACTTCAATATGACGCAATATCAACTCTACGACTTGTTTATCTATCACAATTCATCTAATATGACATAATAAACAATATAAATAACACAGAAACCTGATATACAGTCTAGAATGAATATGTTATTACGTATGTGGCTAGTGGTGACAGTGGTAGAGTGGTGGCGGGCATTCTTGCTCCAGCTCTGAAAATGTCTTCCCAGGTTTCCCCTTCCGAGGTGTTATTATAAGAGAAAACAGAGTTTGTGAGGCTAACTGCATTAGATCACTACTTTCATAAGGAAAACATAATGTAGAAATAAACTGGTGTATAAACACCATTTACTGCGGAGAAGAGATGCTGGCAAAGGTTGCCAGTGGAAAAGATAGGCAGAGCAGCACATGCTGTCAGGAGTTCATTTCGTTTCGTCCTTTTTCTATCGCTTAACTTAATTGCTACACTCTTAATGCTACACTTAACTGCTACACTTTATCACTGAACTTAACTGCTACAATTTTTATTATCTCACTTCACTATTCACTGATTTTTATTTTTTCTTCAAGCTTTTCACACTTTCATCTGGGGGCATTTCAATAAAAAAAACTGTCAAAGGAGGTTTGTTTCTTCCTCCCTTTCAGAATGTTTAGAAAATGAGTTATGCAAGCACCATTACATAGCTCCAACGCAAGACCACTTAAAACTTTCTCTGGGCGTTTCCTTTCAATAAAGCCTGAAAATCTCTCCCAGATTCCCAACATTTCATTTATCTCACTTGTAGAGATAAAATCCTCCACATCTTGCGCCTCCATGGTACGAATGTCCTGCAAAACCTCTTGAGGAGTTAGAAGAACTACATATGCTGCTGCATATGTAGTTCTTCTAACTCCTCCATCGTCAGCTCCTTGGAGTGCTCCTCGATGAGATCGTTCACATCTTCATCCACCTTCATGCCCATGACCTTTCCAAGGGACACAATCTCCTCCACCACTGCCGCTTCGGGTTCGAATCCTTTGAAGTCCCTTTCGGACACAACCTTAGGCCACAGCTTCTTCCACGCAGAGGTCAAGGTCCTCCTTGTAAAGCCCTGCCAGGCCACATTTATAATTTTGAGACATTTCACGATGTTACAGTGGTCCTTCCAGAACTCTTGAAGGGTCAAGTTTGTGCTCTCTGTCACATCAAAGCAGCGGCAGAACAGGTGCTTGGTGAAGAGCTTCTTGAAATTAGAAATCACCTACTGGTCCATGGGCTGCAGGATAGGGGTGGAGTTGGGTGGAAGGTAGAGAACCTTTATAAACTAAAACTCTTCAAAGATGTCATCTGCGAGGTTTGGCGAGTGAGCAGGTGCATTGTAAAGAACGAGAAGGGCTTGAAGGGGTAGGTTATTTTCCTGGAGATACTTCTTAACGGCAGGACCAAAGACCAGGTTTACCCACTCCACAAAGTACTGCCTGGTGACCCATGCCTTAGGGTTTGTCCTCCACATAACCTGCAGTTTTTCTTTTAGAATCTTATAAGACTTAAAGGCTCTGGGGTTTTCTGAATGATATACCAGCAGTGGCTTGATCTTGCAGTCGCCACTCGCATTAGCGCAGTGCAAAGGATAACCTATCCTTCATGGGTTTGTGGCCTGGCATCTTCTCTGCAGTTATGTAAGTCCCCCTTGGAATCTTCTTCCAGAAGAGCCCTGTCTTGTCACAGCTGAAGACTTGCTGAAGGATGTATCCTTCAGCTGCTATCACTTCTGCAAAAGTTTAGAGAAAATCCTCAACTGCCTTCACATCAGAGCTCGCTCCCTCACCATGCCTGACGACAGAGTGAATGCCGGTCCTCTATTTAAACTTTAATTCCATGGAAATCATCCTCTTTTTCTTCTCAGCACTTGCTTTCTTAGGATCTATGGTTAGAAAAAAGAAATCTGGCAAAATAGCTGCTCGAAACGTAAGCAAAATACACGAGTATTCCTTCCACCGCAAGGTAAGCTCCGTAAGCACACCTACACTGACAGTGAGCTGTGTTGTGGTACTGTGCCATCTCGTGGTGGCGTTCTGAAACTCATTTATTATAGCACATGTAGATAAGTAAGTTTGTTCAGGTTAACACAAATACAGTTACACAGATTATCATACATAGCAGCATGTGTAAAGAACCTGGGATTACCCAAAAGTCAGACAGAGTGACTTATTTCCATTGGGGTCCTTTTACCTTATTGTTATAATATAAAAGAAATAATATCTTATTATTATTCTATAAAGGAGATAATATCTTATTATTATACTATAAAGGAGATATACTAGGAATAAAGGAAGATTACATGTGTGTTAGCTAAAAAAATAAAAAAATCATTCTCTTCTCTTTCTGTCGCTACATTCATTAGGCACCTTTTGGCTCTCTTCTTGAACTGGTTCATGCTATGAATGACTTTGACATGTGCGGACAGTCTGTTCCATTCTTTTCTTGCTGTACAATAAAAGGTGTTTGAAGCCTGGCCACTGACTGTGGGTACTACAAAGTTGTGCTCTCCCCCTAGTACTATGATTGCTCCGGTTCCCAGTCTTGACAAAATTGGCAGCAAGATATTCTGGACATTGTTTGTGAACAATTTTATAAACTTGATTTAACTTCAGTTGTTTTGCTCTGTCTTCAACATTCAGCATATCCAATTTTATTTATTTATTTATTTATTTAGTAATTTTAGCATACATACAGAGGTACAAAAAAATACAGGTAAGAGCAGCATGCCAAAGCCACTTATATGCATAGCATTACGGGCTGGCTTAAAATTAACTTAAGATTAACTAAGCAATGATGAAATCAGTGATAAAACATTATTGTAAACAATAACTATAAAGCACAAATGAGTAATTACTGTAATTCATCCTGGCCTACATGTTCTCTTGGACCCAGGTCCAGGATGTATCTTACCATTGACAAAACCTACTATATTATGTTTGGTAGCAGAGCAGGAGATGCACTAATTAACATTAAGATTGACAACACTCTAATTACCAGACATAATGAGGGCAAATTCCTAGGCCTATACCTTGACAACAACCTGAATTTCAGCACCCATATCCAACATATAACCAAAAAAGTATCCAAAACAGTTGGGATCCTCTCCAAGATACGATACTACGTGCTGCAAAATGCCCTTCTTACACTATAACACTCACTTATTTATCCATACCTCACCTATGCTATTTGTGCTTGGGGATCAATTGCAGCAACACACCTAAAGCCAATAATAACCCAACAAAAAGCTGCAGTAAGAATAATCACTAAATCCCATCCCTGGCAACACACCCCCCCACTCTTCATAGATCTAAACTTACTCCCTGTTCAGTACATCCACACTTACTACTGTGCAATCTACATCTACAGGGCCTTAAACTCTAATATCAAACTTGACCTAAAACGCTTTCTTGATAGTTGTGACAGAACCCACAGGCATAACACCAGACACAAACATCTCTACGACATTCCCTGTGTCCGACTAAACCTTTACAAAATTCAATGTATGTCAAAAGCCCAAAAATCTTGAACACCCTACCTGAGAACTCTAGAACTGCAGACACATTCATCACCTTCAAAACTACCATTAGAAAACATCTTATCTCCCTGATACACCCCGTCAACTAACTACACGAATACCACCTGGTGGTTCACACTTACATTCACTCACCCATTTGACCATAAACAGAAATATTAATCTCAATCTTAAAATAATGAATCCTGTGATACTCCAATACTGAAACTATGTACTGTGCCAAAACAAAAGCATTCACATTGCTAAACTCACAAACTAGTATTTAGTCACTTAGCCATAATACCAACTTACCTCATAATTTGTAATATTTTAAAATTAAGAATTAAACTAAATCTGCCCGAAATGCCTAGCCATGCTAGGTGTTCTAGAGGTACACTCTGTAATCATTATTTTACTACATGTAAACCACACAATAACCAAATTCTGTAAACTCAGCATTGTAATCCTTATAGAGAATAAACTTTGAATTTTGTTCTGGGTGATTTGCAGTTTATCTTTCAGGTTTTTTTTTTTTTTTGTCAAGGCAGAGTACCATGAAGAGCAAGCGTAGTCCATATGACATTGTGTAAGGGCTAAACATAGGGTCCTGCGAGCCTCAGTAGGTAGACACTGCGCTTGTCTGTAGAGGAACTTTTTTTTTTTTTTTTTTTACACAGGGTTTGACAAGGTTAAGGATCCCTAGCTTTATTGACAAGCTATTTACAGGTTAAGGATTCCTAACTTCATTGACAAGCTAAGAGCTGTTACCTACATCAGCTCATTTGAAAGCATTTTTATTGTTATGAGACATACAAGTAGGGAACAGTCTGACATTCGCTTTCTTTGCTACACTGTTCCCTATCAATTCTCCTGACATGCATGGGTCAAAGGGGATTCCCAGATATCTTACTGAGGAAACTGAAGTGATGGCTCCCCATTACACCGGATGTTAAAATTATTTACCCTTATCTGTTTCGTGCCAAAGGAAAAGGCTTCAATTTTCCTGAGTGTAACGATAGTTTGTTGTCTACTAACCATTTGCTTCAGGATTACCTTTGTAACTAGTTCAGCTATCATAACTTTGGGGTCCAGTCCCTGGACCCATTATGTACCTTTGTAATCTTTTGACTACTGCCCATAAGATGGGTATGGGGTGCATAATAAAGATATTAAACTAACTTCAGGACTCTAGTTCCTGTGTTAGCTATATCTTGTGGGTCTTTACCTGACACTAACAGAGCACTGTCATCTGCATACAGTAGGAGTTTGCACTTAACACTGATGGACATGTCCTTTACATAACAAAACAATAATAAGGGACCCAGAATACTACCTTGGGGAACTCCGCATGCTATCGGCAGGGGTTCTGATTCTGTTTTGTTGATTTTGACAATTTGTTTCCTGTTGCTAAGACTTAAACCAGTCTACAGAACCTATGCCGATAGCTTGAAAGTTTCTTACATAATATATTGTGGTTGACAGTATCGAAGGCCTTTTGCGAGTCTAAGGTTACCATTCCTATCAGGTTCCCGATCGACATTTCAGTTCTCATGTAATCCATCAGATTAATTAGGGAGGTGTTGGTTGAGTAAGATCTTCTAAAACCTGATTGATAACTATGGAGAACGTTGTTGCCATTAAGGTACTTTACTTGACAGTACACCGCCCTCTCAAGAATTTTGGATATTACATTGAGTATACTAACAGGCCTATAGTCGCATACATCAGACCTACTATTTTTCTTGAAGATAGGAGTAACTCTGGCCTCCTTGAACCCCTCCGGTACTGTATTAGTGATGTACAAATTTATTATGTGAGCAATAGGGATTAACAATTCAGAGCACCATCTTTTAGGAACTTAGACGGGATGTTATCAGCGCCAGTGCTCTTAGTTGGGTTTAACCTCCTTAGTTCTTTTTGAATGAAGTGTGAGATACGCTTAGTTAGTTGACAATTGTTTGGGGTTATTCTTTGATTGGTATAGTATGTTTTAAAGTTATCAGTCTGTGTTAAAGGTACCTGATGCAGTTGGTAGTTTACTTACTAGTGTTGATGCGACAGTTGTGTAGTAGGAATTAAAACAATTTGCCACTTTAGTTGTTTCATGGCATACCTCGTTATCGATATTTAGTACTTTGTTAGATCTATCTACTGGTTTATGGCTATACCCCAGCTGTTTTAGTAGTTTCCAGAGCTTTCTGGGGTTATTCTTGTACTCTTCGATTTTTGAGCAATAGTGCCTTGCCTTTGGTCCTTTTATAAGTCTCTGTACTCTGTTCCTCAACCTTTGGAATTCATTTAGCGCTGCAATATCCTGTCTATCTGCCCTAAATCTTGTTAGTAACTGGTCTCTGAATTTCATATTATCTAATTTCTCAGTAGTCATCCAGAGTTCGGTTGTCCGTTTAATTCTAACCTCTTTAACTGGTGCAATATTATCAAGGATGGCAGTGAATATTATTTTGAATTTTTCCCAGGCATCATTTACGTCCGTGCAACTTGTTATCACTGTCCAGTCACTATTGTGTAGCATATTTACCAGTGTTTCTTTACTGTAGTTTATAGTTGACCTCATTTTTATTGTCCTGTGTAGTCCTATCATTTCCCTAGTGATTTTTCTGGTGCAGTAAATGATGAAATAATCACTAAGACCTATGGTAATGACGCCTGACTAACATTCTCAGAGTGGTTACAAAGTATGTGGTCAATTAGGGTGGCTAAGAACTGTGTGATCTGGGTTGGAGTATTAATTAGTTAAGTGGAACTATTTAGACCTAGAATTTGCTTATACCTTTTGCATAGCCCGTTATTTTGTTGCTGAAAACAGGTATTGAAGTCTCCCAGTATTACTGTTTCGCAATTGTTCTCATTATTATTATTATTATTATAATCATGGGGAAACGCTAAACCCGTAGGATTATACAGCGCCTGTTCTCAAGTCCGGACAAGACTCTGGAAAAGTCTTCTAAGAACTGGTCTTGGGTGGGAGGGCAGCAAATAGTTCGTACTAAGACGAGTTTTGTCTTGGGAAGCAGCCTTCAAACCATAGAATCTCCAGCTTTTGTCATTTAAATCAGGTCTTGGGTTGTAAGCTAAGTCATTTCTTACATAGGCACATACCCCACCACCTTTTCTGTATTATTATAATTATTATTATATTATTACATATTATTATATTATTATTATATGCATTATATTATTATATTATTATTATTATTATTATTATTATTATTATTATTATATGTATTATTATTAGTAGTAGTACATATGTATAATAATAATAATAATAATAATAATAATAATAATATATATTATTATTATTATTATTATTATTATTATTATTATTATCATTAATTTAGGGAACTGGAGCACAGATCCAATTCCTTAGATCAAGGGCCCCTCTCCAAGGAACCTCCCTTGAGGGGAAAGCTCGCATCCTGAAATTTCGTTTGTATCCAGAAGTAAAAAATCGACTGAGCAACTGTTCGTATCCTGAAAAACTCGCATGGTAGGGTATTCGTAAGCCGAGGTTCCACTGAGCTGTATTCACCTAATTGTGGTTGCAGGGGTCGAGACTCAGCTGTACACTATATGAAAAATGAGCAGAAACACCACAGTCTGAACATACAGACAGGATGCAGCAGAGATACTCACCCTGACAAAGTTAGCATTAATATATTCGGTAGCAGGGTCTCCTGTGTGGAGACGGACCCGGGTGGCTTCGTTGGGTAGTACGGTTCGATACCTATTCTTGCATGCTGACCCTGGCACGTCACATCTGTGATAGGGATTCTATTTATTATTCATAAAAAAATCACTAAACCTTTTAAGGTCATACAGTGCTGAAATTTTATGAATAAGAAAATATACATGCCATATAAACAGAAGAAAAATGCTGGGCTATTAGTTCAATCAGTGCTCTTGGTAGACAGTAGTCACTGAAGTCTAGTCCATGGAATATCCTGACTATCATGTTCCACCCTTAACAGGAAGGACAGAAAAAAGAGAGACAAGAAAGTTATCACAGTAGCCTTCAGTATTCACTGGAATTGTGAACTGCATAGTTACTATGTCTGACTTATGCGAAGTATGCAGAACTTACAGGTACAACAGTTGTAAAAACAGGAACTTTGTTCTTGTGTGTGCAGTTCCCCATTTGAGTCTCCTGGGTTGAGAGCTAGCTCTTGGTCCAGAATTTCAACTTTAAACCAACGAAAGTGAAATGGAATCTGCTTCCACTTTCGAAATATTTCTTGATATTGCTGTGGCCTTTGGAGTGAGTAATTTTTAACCCTATCCTTCTTTTTGTCTTACATCTATGGTAGAGATACTAATAATATAATCATTTTATGCACTAAACCTGTGTGGGTCATACAGTCCTGTGGATAGTGTGGATAGGAGTGTGCATGGAATAATGGTTTTTGGAGGTGGGGATTAGTGCAGGTCTAAAATTAAAATCATAGTTTGTTCAAGAGGTTAGTGTCCATTAAAAAGTTAGTGTCTGCATCAAAGACAGGACTTTCAATGAGGAAATCAGTGCTAGTGTAGGGTTGTGAATCCTGTATGCTATACCCCTGAATCCCCTCCAGGGAGGATCCTTAAAGCTGGTGAGGGGCTTTTGATCCAAGAAATTAAACCTTAACTCCCTTTCCTTTGATCGAACTCGATTGCCTTCCTCTCCCCCAGGCTGTATGACCCCTATGTGTTTAGCGCCTCTACCCCCTATCCATAAATATACTAGCATTATACCTGAGTATTTTGTATAGTATGATCATATCCCCTCATTTGCTCCTCCAGGAACCCTTCAAGGTAGAAAAAGGGGTGCTTTATGTTGATGAAGGGTTGTTGATCAAAGGAATTGAAGGCTTCCACCCTTTCTTCAAATCAAATCCAGATGATGGACAAATATAATAATAATATTATAGGGATAAAATACCTATCTCTCTTTCTTTCTAAGAACAGTTCAAGCCCCTCAATTCAATATGTGCATAGTTACTTGTGGGTGGGGCACTTGTCAGGGTGGTTGAGAGGGATCTCATGTGGGTGATTGTAATGAGGGGAGGGAGGCATGATTGTGCACCTCTCAGGAATGCAATTGATGGGTATCTAGTGGGTGCGGATCTTGTGAGTGGCAAGAAAAAAGGAATAGTTGATGGGAACCTTCAGTGGGTGCTCATGTATGGAGGCAAAGACAGGGGCGTGTGTACATACACTTGTCCATAATTGAAAAGGACAGCTGGTCGGTGGTTGTTGGGACACGAAAGTGGGTGCATGCGCGCATTTATTAGGGTGGTTGATGGGGACCAACGCCAAGACAACAGTGCATATGTATTCACAATAAAGAATTCTTGGCTTCATATCAAGAAGCATAAATAATATTAGTCATAATATATATTTAGTAAGGCCTCATTTAGATTATGCTGTCAGTTCTGGACTTCATATTACGGAATGGACATACATAAATGTGGTCTTAAATATAGAGGGAATGATGGAAGTGACGAAGTTGATCCTATGTATCCGAAACCTTTCTTAAGAAGATAGGCTGAAAACACTGAATTTATACTCTCTGGAAAGGGGTGGAATTAGAGGATACGACTGAAGTGTACAAATAAAAAGCAGGAACTAATAAAGAAAATACAAATAACGTACTGAAAATATCTAAAACAAGACTCGCAGCATTGGATTGAGGTTTGACAAATTTAGACTTAAAAAGGATAAAAAAGAACAAGGAAAGTACTGGTCTGGCAACAGTTTTTTTTAGATGAGAGGAACAAACCCCCCAGTAGCGTCACTGAAGCTAGAACTTTGGAAAACTAAATATAGGGTGAACAGGCATGTGAGTGGGTGTGGTTCAGCACGAATTGGACCTGCCTATTCCATCCATGGACCAGTAAGTCTACTCCAGTGTTCCCCTGTTCTTAAGATTTTTATGTTAAGTTTTCTTGTGGGAGATTTGTGTGGTGGGGGAAGGGAGGATGCATATGTGCACTTGTTGGAGTGTTTCAGAATCCCACTAGTGGGTCGTTCTGTGTTGGGGAAGGGGGCGTACTCGCCTATTCGTTGTTGCAGGGGTCAATTCTCAGATTTTGGCCCCTTCTCTTAACTTGCCACTCTCCAGATTCACTCCCTTGTGGGCCCTATCGTACTTGCTCTTCAAACTATTTATGGAGCCTGACCCCACCACTTCCTCGCCAAGATAACTCGAATCACTTCTCGACCACTATAAAACTTAAGAAATACATTCTAACATTCCAAAGGCTCATCTGCCTTTAAAGGCCCAGTTGTGTCCTCGAGCTCTCGTTTCTTACCTCTCATGCTGCCTGTCCCTGTCTGTCTTATTCCCTGAGTATTTTATAAGTTGGTATCATGTCTTCCTAAAATATCTTTAAATTCAATTCCGATAGCTATGAGCACTCGTAGCTCATGCCCTCTTAGCTCAGGAACATGCCTCGTTACATACTTCTACAGTAGCCTTCAGGAATCTCGAGTGTCTTTCCGCGCACTTTACGTAACATGTCAGGTTCCTCTTGGAGTACGCAGCACTAGTATGGAACCCACACCTGAGGAAGTATGTTAAGAAACCGGAGAAAGTGCTGAAGTATGCAGCAAAGCTTGTTCTTGAGTTAAGGGGCTTGAGCTATGAGAGTTTAATGGACTTGAAACTAACGACATTAAAGGACAGAAGAACCAGGGGAAATATAACAAACAAAATACTCAGAATTGATTGGGTAGACAAGGACAGGCTGTTTCAGAGGCAAGAAACATTTACTTGGGGACACAACTGGAAGTTAAAGACACAGATGGGCCACAGGGATGTTAGAAAATATTTCTTAAGTCTCAGTGTGGTCGGAAAGTGTAACGATCTCAGTGAAGGAGTGGTGGAGGCAGGCGTCATACATAGTGTTAAAAGCGTGTACGATAGGGCCCACGAGGCTAGGAGAGAATGTGGTAAACGACAAGTTAGAAGGTGGGGGTCAGCAGCTAAGACTCGACCCCTGCAGCCACATATAGGTGAGCTCCTCTGCATTTTCTCCAGTTTCTTTGCGTGCTTTTTCAGGTGCTGGTTCCATACTGGTGTTGCATACTCCAAGAAGGGTCCGATGTATGTTGAATATAGGGCCTCGAATGACTTGAGATTCCTGAACGCTACCCTTAGATTTGTCAGACAAACGATGGTTGCAGAGGTTATTCGACTGGTGAGAGCCGCTAGCGATATATCAGGCATTATGCTCACTCAGTGGTCTTCCTCTCTGAGTGAAGCAGCAGCCTGTTCTCCTAATTTATACCGTTTCCGGTCTTGCTCCTTGCATGGATGCACTTGTGAGTGGACTTTGGTAGGTAGCTGCTGGGACAGGAAGGTGCACGCATGTGTGTATTTGTCGGGGTGCTTGAGAGGCACATCTAGTGGGTTGTGTAATGCTATGGAGGGAGGATGCGTGTGTGCACTAACTTATCAGGGAGCTTGATGGGGACCAGTTGGTAGTTGTGTGATGGGGGAAAGGGAGGCTGCGTGTAAGTACTTACTTATCAGGGTGATTGAGGGGGACCTCCCAGAACTCAGCATGGATGGCCCTGACCTCCTTGAGGCACTGACGCAGCTGCCGACGACTCGTCCTGTTCCCAGCCGTCATGAGAAACTCCTCGGGAGTACTGAAGAAAAAAGATATGTATGAATAATTC